GTTACCGTAAGGCCGTGTAATGCTGGAAAATGCGCTCCCCGTTCCTGTGGGCAGTGTGAACTGTGAACGTTCTCCACCATGGACAGGGTACCGGGCTACAATTCACAAAATGCATGACTGCTTTCGAAAACAATATAAAACTATCCTTAAATTTAGGAATTTACTTAATAAAGACAAATCTTAACTTGGTAGGTGAAAACAGATCTCAGGAACAGGCTGCAAGGAGAACACTTGGGGGGGGCATGCATGAAGATTTCAATAAATGGGCCTCCTGTAGCAAAGTGTCCGTATTATGATGCCATGGTGAAATTTTTCTCCAAACCAAGGAAGATAAAGTGTAGCCATGAATCATGCACATGATGTGCTAATGTTTTGCAAAGGTCATAGGTTGCACAGCTTATTTTTATGCATTAAATGCAGCTTATTAAGTCATCCTCTCTCTCATAATCACTTTGTTTTGAAGTCTTGAATTTACCGAGCAAACTAAAATTTGAACGCAAATATAAATTGCAGACCGCTTGCTGCGCCATCTGACCGAAGCCCACCGTGCTAATATGCCGTCCCGCATGCGTCGTCTGTTTAGGGTTTTTTTGGTGCGTACCACCGGGCCTGTAAAAAAATATTGGGGAAACACTGATACACAAACACACACACACACACAGTGGCGGCCAATGGAATATGTGAACTATTTAGGCAACTCTGAGAATGTGCATCCTCTCATCCGCCCGGCCTTTTGTTTGTGTTTCACTCAGAGTATTGATTTTGATCACTAAACCACATGTCTTTTGTCACCAATAGAAATGTTCAGTGTTCAGAGTTTTTGTTTTGCCTTGCACATTGCAATCAGTATTGGTACATATTTTTACAAAAAATGCCAAATAGTTTTGTTTGGTTTTTTTTCACTTTTATCTATAATGATGGCAGCAGATGGTGTAATTTGATATCGCCGAGACTTAGGATGAGGACAATATTTCATCAGAAAGCAGGTGGTGCCTGGCTGGTGCCGTTGCTCAACACTCCCTCAAAGGGGTGCCTTGTTTTTGCCAAATAACTGTAGGATAGTTTTGCTTTAACTTCTCATCGTAAGGCTTATCAACGGCAAAATGGTTTTGTTTTGTTAAAAAATGAAGCCCAATAGCTGAACAAGACTTGACTAAACTAACCACTGTAGAGAATTTCAACCGCTTGACTGTAGGTGGTTGCATAAGTGTGCTTTAGACCTGGTTTGGTTTGGTGCTCTTGGCATCCATATCTGGCATGCCCCTGGCTGCTTTGTCTGTATGGTTCAGCGGTGCTCGGGAGGATTGAGCAATTGTTAAGAGGGTGGCTGAATCATGGCTGTTCTCCTCTCACTTAAAAACATCTCTTCCTCCTTTAATGCCATCTTCCTCTTCCCTCTCCATGTCGTCCATCCCTTAATTTCCCTTACTGTCTCTACCTCTTTCTCTCTCTATTTCTCTCTCCCTCTTATTATGGGGCTGGGGCTACAGAGGAGTGGTTTTCCAAAGGTAAGCTCTTGCTTCTTTATGACCTGCGCTTTGCTCGCTCCGAACTGCTTGCCTTGGTGTTGGTTTTTCATTTTAGACTAGGCAAAACTAACATAGTACATAATCTGCTACTGACAGCATGCACTAACCATTCTCACCCACCAGAGGTTTTGTTATTCATAGTTCCTTTTGTTGTCCATGCACTATTTTGTGTGTTGTTTCTGGTGTATATTGGTCAAGTGTGCACGCCTCTTTTTTAATCTGTCTCACCTGGTTGGGTAGACTTCACTCACGGTGGAACCTGGTGCAAAACTGTGTCTACAATGTCCTTCTAAAATATGATTGTTTTGGTTGTGATCTCAGGTCGGCAGGACGACGACAGCACTTCAGACATGATTGACATTCCCAAGAGGACCACTCCTGCTAAAGGTAGGGACATTGCTCCGAACTGCCAGTCTGCCCACCAGGCCACCGACCGACAAACTCAAAAACTCTCTTTTAAGCTACAGAACTGTGAAGAATGATTCAGCCGCTCTCCTGAAATGTTGTTGTCCTTCTTGTGTTCTCCTGTGTATCTACTTTCTTTAAAAGTTGTCCTTTTTCCTCTGTATCTAACCGCCCCCCTACCCCCTGCACAACGTGTGATCTTTCCCCTAGGATACGAGCTGCTGTTTCAGCCAGAGGTTGTGCGTATCTACACCTCACTCCTGAAGGAATCCCAAAATCCCACAGTGCTGGAGGCCTCGGCCGGAGCAGTGCAGAACCTGTGTGCTGGGCGCTGGACTGTAAGTTAACCCGCTGCAAGTTATCCCCCCTTCATGCTGTCCTGTGTAACAAAACCAACTCGCATTCCTCCTCTCCACAGTGCATTCTACTCAGGTCCTCCTCCAATCTATCGTAGGACGCACTCATGCTGAGCGTAAATGGAAACTGGGAGTGGGAGCTATTTACTGTTACTATTTAATAATTAAGCAGACACTTTTATCCAAAGTGACTTAAAGCGATGGCTAATGAATGAAAGATATTTTGTTATCGGCTTGTAAGTTATGGATTTAAAGACTTGATAACCCTGTTGATTGGTCATCCGAATCAGCCCAAACTTTTGCTAGGGATCCCAGACAAGCCCAAGTCTCCTTTCAACAGATGGGATACACAACTGACACAGCAGGGCTGTTGTTTCATTTTAAATTTGAATCAATGTGAAGGCCTCTTTTCACTTCTTTTTGATGAGTGATGAGACTAAATACTTGTTGTTTTTTATTCTGTGTTTCTGTGTATTCAGTCGGGTTAGGTTATCACTATGTCACTTGGGCAGAACACAAACAAATGTATCCTCTGGGATCTCACCTTTTAAACAGTGGTACTCAATAAATTGCATTTTAGTTATAATATAAACTCATCCAATACAACAAATTTGGTAAAATACAGCTACTCGCAGATTCACTTGGAACAAATTAATAGAAAACATTTGTTTATAAACTACTAGGCTTTTGTAAAGCCATAAATAGAGTTAGGAACAGGGCAATCAGAAGGCACTGAACAGGGGCCCATTGTCTCCGCCTATGGTTATGATATTGCCTATATACCGATTTTAGTTTTTTTCTTCTTGTAGCTCTCTTTTTTTCAACCTTTTTTTTCAATGTGTTTGCATCCCTGTATATTAATACTAGTCATTGTGTTAAGAGTGACACGTTTCTGCTGTCGGTTCTTTATGCTCAACAACACAACACACTTTTTTGCTTGTATTTCCTTTATGGGCCCGTTCATCCTCTGTGAATTGAAACATGCTCTCTCTGTGTCTAGTACGGCAGGTACATCCGTGCGCTGCTGCGCCAGGAGAAGGGTCTGCCCATGATGACGGAGCTGCTGGCCCACAGCAACGACCGCGTGGTGCGGGCCATGTCCGGAGCCCTCCGCAACCTTGCCATCGACGCCCGCAACCGCGATCTGCTAGGTACAAAGCCCCATCCTCCGTGTCACCTGTCGTTGCCATTGGCTGGTGTACTCAGTTTAATCATTGTTAAACTTGTTCAAGGGTGCCCAAAGGTTTAGCCTTTGTGGGCCAAAATGCAATCTCGCCAGTACGACACGGGCCAAAACCGATATTGCAGAAATGCAAATGGTTGTTGTTCAATATACATGGTTGTTATCAATACTATTTTCTCAATGACTTCCACTACAACTGTTCTCCCCAAAACAACTGTTATTCAACACACACATATATATATATATATATATATATATATATATATATATATATATATATATATATATATATATATATATATATATATATATATATAATTAAAACACTAAAAACTGTAATGAAAAAACCAAAATTATTGTTAGTTGTAACAAACTCCAGATGTGCATTACAGCAATGTAAATGTGGACCGATAACCAGAAGCAAACGTCCCTCAGTTTGGGCACACAGCTAATGTAAATGCATATTCTCATGGTAAATGCAACACCAGGCAAACACGCCGTGCCTCACCTGGTGGCCAACTTGCCGGGCGGCGGTCAGAGCCAGCCAGTCCGTGCGCTCTCGGAGGAGACAGTGGTGTCTGTACTGAGCACGCTCCACGAGGTGCTGGGCTCCAGCCTGGAGGCCGCCAAGACCCTGAGGGCCTCGCAGGGCATTGAGAGGCTGGTCCTTATCAACAAGGATGGGTACGTTCATCGGGATATTTGATTCATTTATTCAACCTTTACTTAACCAGGAAGTTCCTTGAGTTTAAAATCTCTTTTTCGAGGGAGACCTGGCCAAGATAGCACACCAGTACAAGTACAAGGTAACACATTTATAGAATAGAGCCAAAACAGATAAGGAACGATTAAGGACAACAGAGCACGATAAGAACAAACGGATGCATACTACAACAGATGCATACTACAAAATCCAGTTTAGGAATGGCACACTTCAGTTAGTTTTTTTTATCATCATATGTCAATTATATATACCTTTTTTGTCAATATATAATTATATATACCCTTTATGTCAATATATCATTCAATGTTGTGCCATCAATGCAAAGAGGCAACAGCTCATTCATAGAGATTTAAATAGTTTATTTTCTTTTATTCTTTATTCCTCTACTTTCCCAATCCCAGTAGCCAGCCGTATATCTTGTATTGTTATTCTGTAACACTATTTTTCTATTTTTGTCTTTTGTTGCTGTAACAGCTGCATTTCCCTCATGTGATTAATACGTGTTATCGGATCTTATGTCTGTTGGTTCGAATGTGTGCATGTGTGCGTGCACGTGTCTGACACGTGGGCAAAGTCTTAATGATGCTAATGAGCATGCAAATCCAAATGTGTTAGTGGTAAGATGACGTATTTCACAAGACAAGAATTTATTTTACATGTATTTGGTTAACCTACTTACTATTTAGCCAGCCTTTAGCAGGTGATTTTATCCAAATGCACTTGCAGTTAATTTTTCTTACTTGGATACATGTCTTCAATGAGCAAGGAGATGTTGGGCATCTTGCTCAGAGATGCTTAAAAGGTAGACTGGACGTTGGGGTTCGAACCCAGAACATTTGGGCTGGAAGTCCAACACCCTAACCACTGGACTATGCTGCTCCCTGCCTTCACCAGGAACCGCTCGGAGCGTGAGGTGCGCGGTGCCGGTCTGGTGCTGCAGACAGTGTGGGCCTACAAGGAGCTCCGGCGCACACTGGAGAAGGACGGCTGGAAGAAGACTGACTTTATGGTCAACCTGAACCCGCCTAGCAACAACACGAGAGCCAATGGGACGTACGAGGACAGCACTCTACCACTTATAGAAAAAGGTATGTCTGTAGTTTTGTGTGACGGAGGCAGACAAAGAGGGAGCAAGACACAGATGGAAGAACATTTAGACGGCACTATAGACAGCATTTGAATCAGACCAAACTGTAATGGTAAGATTACAAAAATATGGCCTTCCTGTGTTGGTAGGGTTTAAGTGCCTTAAACTGATTTTGTTATGTTTTGACATGGGCGTCATTAGGAGTATTCTTGGTTAGTGTTCAAATCTGTTCTCTCTCTGGGAACCAGTTGTCGAGTACAGCAATTGCAACATGTATTGATCCAGAAAAGGCCTGTTATTTGTTTTATATGTAATATAAAAGTAAATTCTTCTTACAATGTAGGTGCAAAAGGGGACCCGGAAAGAGACATGATTCCTATGAATGACTTGGGACCAGGTGAGAACAATGGCTAAACACACGCTAGGAGTGCACGATATTGACAAAATATCATATTTCAATATTGTTCATGAATATTGCGATGTCAATATTCATTTCGATATATTGAAACGTGTAAACACAAGTTATGGGAAAATGCATCCAAACAGATTCATAACAAATCAAAACAACAAGTGTTCTTACATTACAAGGGTCTACTAAATACTCTCTCTGAGGGTGAGCTGGTGATCTGGCCAGCTTGCTCAAAGTGGGTAGGGGAATGTATTTCTCTACCTACTAATAATATCAGGCTGGTAATTATGTAATAGACTCCAGTTATGTTGTTTTTTCTTTTCTGTCGCTCCGTCATCCGGAATAGTGCATGTGTTTTTTCTTTGCATGCTCTTGAATAGCGCTAGTGCTGTGGTGCAATATCATTGAAACTCTGCACAACCTACAAACCACCTTTTTTTGTTTTATGCTAATTTGAAGTCCCCCATACTTTCAAAGCCGTGTGTCTTAATTGGAACTTATTTATAAGTGGGTCGTGTTTCTAATGAGAGCACTCACACCGGCGCCGCCAGACAGCTGCGCCATAACTTCCAGCACTGCTCAAAACCTTGGCACGCGTCGCTGTGTCATTTATTGTGACCCATTATATTAAACACAGAACAAGAAAAATCTAATCTTCCGATGTGTATTGTATAATAGTTGGACTGATGCTTTGACTCATGTTTACAATCTCAGAATGCAAGACGAAATGTATTCATGCCAATGCATGTTATGTTTTGGACATTACAAACCAATTTTTAATATGCCTATGGAGAGGTTTCACTATTATGGTTAAAAATGTATTTGTAGATATAAATGTATACAAATCAGATGTGGACACATTTAGTAGAGATCTGTTGCCATCCATTCACTAAGTTGTCTCCGGTGGGATCAGTGGCTGGTCTGCAACAGGTTTTTTTTCCACATTTTATGTTAAAATACAAGCATATTTTTCTATCTAGACGCCTACTCCACAATTGACCAAAGAGGGAGGAGGAATACTCTCGACGACACACTCGGACCTGCTGATAAATCTGCACAGGTACACACACACTTTTCAAATAGTCAAATAGTAGCCTGTTAGAAACAATATATAAAGTTTATTGAATAGAATGTATTTGTGTGTCGAGGACTTCACACACACTCTTTAACTTTGGTTACTCTGAGGATGAAATCCCCACACCTCAACACACACAGACTGTATGTTCAGGCATGTTTTGAGAACACATTGTAGGTGTTTTCCTCAACCTCCCCCTCCCCCTTAACCAGCATCATCCACCCCTAAACCTGACCTAACCTCAAACTAACCTCATTGTCACCCTTGTCCTTTCCCAGCCCCCCCCCCCCCCTCCTGTCTGAAAGCTCACATGCTCTCTAATGGTCCCACCTATTGTTGTTGTGTAACTGTCCTTCTATGTGACTCGACTCTCTCGCTCTCTCCTTCTCTCTAACTAAATGACTAACTCTCTTTTTCCTCACACACCTCTTCTCAGGGAGGGATGTATGGGGAGAGGCAGGCCTCTTTGCCTCTTATGGATTCTTATGATGGTTAGGCTCCTTCCACTGTAACACTGCATGTGAACGCATGGTATGTGTCCCACCCCCACCAGTTCTGTGACTCAACAGGCTGCATGGCTTAACTGTGTGTGTGTGTGTGTGTGTGTGTGTGTGTGTGTGTGTGTGTGTGTGTGTGTGTGTGTGTGTGTGTGTGTGTGTGTGTGTGTGTGTGTGTGTGTGTGTGTGTGTGTGTGTGTGTGGTACCCCCTCTGCTGGACAACCATATGTGTGGCTTTGTTTTTGTGACCTGCTACCTTTCGGCGAATAGCTCTCATCTTGTTGTAATTGTAGATGTTAATTGGCAGACAAATGGTTTACATTTGAGTCAAAGCACTCTTTTAATAATTCCCATACATGTGAATCTTTTCTCTCTTTCTTCCAGAAAATCTGATTGTGTGCATCACTAGACGACAGCCACCTGCCACCTACTGCCCATGCTAAACTAAAACAACGTGGGACCACAGCCACTACAACTACTATAACTACTACTACACTACAGACTACAAACTTAAAACCATCTTCCTATATCAGTCTCTCGTGTCTTTCTTACTTGCCCCCCATTTCTGGCACCATCTCTCCCTCCTTTCTCTCTTTTCCCCAGCCCTCTTCCTCCCTGTTAACATTCCTCCGTCGAACCTGAAAGACTGACGACGTAAGCCACTTATTGGGGTCGACCCGAAGAAAGGGTGTTTCTCTGCTCTTCTCCCTGTGGACTTTTGACATTATGACCACTTCAACCTCTTCTTCCTTACCCCCCCCCCCCCACCACCACTCCTGCACACTACCACTATGACTCCCAACAGTGACGCTTTGGAAATCTCTAGACTTTATGGAGTTCAGGATGATGAAACATACACTACATTTGCCAAATTCATCAAAAGGGAACTATTTTGTTTTGGAACAGAGCACCAAGGCAGAGTTTTGCAAAATGGTTACAAATTACTTAAAAAAAAAAAAAAAGGCTTGTGGTGGTGATTTTTGGTGTTGTTAAAGGTTGATTTGTGAAACCAATTTCTATCACCGGATCCGATGTTTGTGTATTGAGATATCTGTGATGCTTCAACTTCTTCTTTGACCGTGGGTGTTTTAACTTTTGCTTCGCATAGTACTACAGTTAACAACATATTGCCAAATGAAACTGCTTCTGCTGCGATTGTTTTACAATATTATATCCACGGGACTTTCAACACCCACAGACTCTTCATTGCAGTTACACTGAAAGACATCTCACTCTTCATTTTGCCTGCGCGTGAAAACGTGATTTTTGGGGGTGAAATCTGCATTCTCTAAATGTTATTGTCTATCGAAGACCAAAGGGGTAGAGATGTTAATATTGTGAACTCCAGAACAGCTCTGTATAGAAATAGACTGCATAGGCCAGACACACAATTCTCTGCCTTATTAGAATAGCGTGTGACGTCTGCCCTGTGTGATGGATTTCTGATGATGTTATATCGCATAAGAACTCTTCTTCTGATTCTTGGGAGGTGTTAAATGAAATTTGATTGTTCAATGAGTGCATTTATTTTGTATCTGCAAATCTATATTATGAATGTGTAAATATGAGACTTGACACTAAACATAATGTCTGTGTGGGCTAACTGGAGTACCTCGCTCGTTCACAATAGGGTCGATAGGTAACCAATCAGTATGTTTCGCTTCGTTGGACGTTACGAGTGGACGCGTGTGGAACTCAGCGGTTGTATATTCCACGTGGTATTGGAATGTATGAATTTGTATGTAAAGGCTGTTTTTAATGTGATGGTCTTTGTTTTTTAGGTAGAATATACAACTCTTGAGTTCGGTAGAGTGGGGCGTGCTGCCAGGATCGGGGCTGGTAGACCGTACGTTGAGCAGTACGTTGAAAAGGACGCATTACTAACGGCTTTGCCTACATTTCTTTAGTACCGTGCCTATTCTCTAGAAGACTGCATAATCTTAGTGTTGATGTAGATATTGAGTGGACGATTTAACTAAACAAAAAGCACTAGGGGGTATATTGTATTTTTTCTTCTCCATCTTTTTAATTATGCCAATTAAACACTACAGAATAATCCCTTTTTCTACGCACAAATTGTCCCCCAGCGTTTAAAGATGAACTAAGATTGTAATTCAACTAAGATGACGGTATGGTTGACTTGTAGAACTGAAGCAGGGAGCGAAAGCGAGAATTCATTTGACTTTATTTGAACTAAGCAGGCGTTCACCATACTTTTGATTATTTTGGATATAAGATGATAGAATAAAGCACATTCAAACAATATATACTATACAAGAGAATATTTGCTAATTTTGTTTTATCTATTGTTTTTATACTTTGATTTTGGTTTAATTGTGTTGGGTGCTTTGGGTGAATGCATATGCAATCAGTTTTTATGTTTGATAAAATGCATTTGTAGTTTATATATTTTAATTAAATACAACAAAACCTTAAATATATATAAATATCCATCTTGTGTCATTCATCAATTACTGTAACACTAATCAAAAAGCTGATTCTGAAATAAACCTTAATTTCTTTACCATGGCCTTTAAAGTTGCACATTTCACATTTAAATTGAAATATGTAACTAAATACATTTTTATATATAAATAAAAGATGATTTTCTGAGGCTTTCGTTGGCTCTTTCTGGTTGCTGATCATAGGTTTTAAAATTATAATTTGTATAATAGTGGGTATTAAATTGTCTTTCTTAATGTTAAGCAATAGTCCATTTACAGCGGTTTTAGAACAGCCAGCGGGCGTTGGTTACGCCATATTCACACGAAATGCGAGTTTGACCGTGGGGTCATTAACTTGCAGCA